AAAAAAAAAAAAAAAAAAAAAAAGAGAAAGAAAATCATACTTTCCCTTGCTAGCAAACATGGTTCCACATACTCCACATATGAAGTGTGATCTTAAGGAATACCTAAGTGGGAAGCCTATGCTTTTTGAGGGCACTGGCCTAAGCCTCATCATACCATAAGGATAAAAGAAAGCACTGCAATTTAGAGAACTCCATACAGCCATTCCCATTTCTCAATCATTCCTCAAAAAACAGCACACCAATTCCTATACATCACCTGTAACTTTTTTAAACTGTGGTAAAATCTGCATGACATAAAATAACCACTTTGACGTGAACAGTTCTGCGGCATCATAGCAACAGTTGTAGTAACTATAACAACAATCAACAGGTAAAGGCCACAGCCAAGTTATTTAGCACCTTGACGAGGTGCCGGAGCCAGCGCTCAGCGCTGCACACGCCTCATCCACTGCGCTCTCCAGCACGCTGATGAAGCGGGGCTGGGGCCAAAGCCTTGGTCTCCATTGCCCCTCACGTCCCGGTGATGAGCAAAGACTATGTCCTCACTTAGACAGCAAATACAGGACTAAAGGAGAAGAAAATCAGATGTCTTCCACATGGTTGTGTATTAACATCAAATTTAACTCTTTCTACAAAGGCAGACACACCAAACTGGTAGGTGGCAGGATACAAATACTTTAAAGATGAAAATAAACAGAAGCAAAATGCAGTCTAACCCTAAAGAATTCTGAGCAGGCACTCTTAGCTCTCTGGGACTTTTTGTTACAAAAGGCACACACAGACAGAACTGCACAGTTCCAGGAGAAGCACAGAAAACAGCGGAAGATAAACCGGATACGATTTTAACACGGAAGAGTAACAGAGTAAAAAGAACACAGACGCTGAAGACTGATATACTGAGTTCGAAGTCCAATCCAGCCACCTACCGATGGCAAACTCTCGGGCAAGTTACTTCTTTTCGGCTTGGGTTTTTAACCTGTGAAAGGGAGTAACAATACCAACCTCACAGGCTGGACTGTCCAAGCACAGTGATGGTGTAGCGCACGTGTTCAACAGGTAAGAAACGCACTCTACAGGCCAACTTGGACAAGCAGAACGAGAGGCTCATCACTAGGGAGCACTTCCCAGGCAGACGGCGCGTGAAGGTGAGCCACCCAAACTGAAAAGGCCATCTTCTCTCCCTGGACCCCCATGCCAGCTGACGACATCCTGTGAACTTCCACTTATCATTATTAACACGTCCCTGCGCCCGCTGTCCTCCCTGTCACCTACCTGCTTTCTAGCACCACACACCCACAGCCCCCTACTCTGCCCCGGGAGCCGCTCGTCCTCCCACCGCCTCTAGTCTTAGCTGCGCTTCTGCGTCCCCAGAGACCCTGGGCCCCTCCCCATCTCTCTACTTCTGTGCTGGCCCTCACGTTTCCCCTCTGCTTTCCCCTGCCTGGGGTCCCGGGAGCCATGGTAAAATAGAGGGGAGAGCTGATTACCGCCCCCGAAAGGGACAAGAAGCGGTGGCAGAAGGAAGACTCAGTGTGGCAGACCAGGAAGTTACACTGGCCTTCTTTCCTAGTGAAGGCCCGCTTAACAGCTCTACCACTACTCCATCTTCTCTAAAAGACTATCAACTGTGTCGCTGTCGTTTTCACTCTTTCACTCTATCTCTAGTCTGGATAAGCTGCTTTTGTCCTCTCAGCTCTGTTCTACACCAAACTGTCCAGGAGTTGGTGCTCAGCGTAAGTGCTGCAACTTCAAGCCTCTGAAGCACTCGGTGCGTTCTCACCTGGCTGTGCAGGGACTCTGTGTCATCCCCAGGGGCGCCGACAGGCTTCTCCTCACTGCCCCTCTCCGTCTGCACCGTGGCATCTCGCTTCCCTGAGCTCTGCTCCACAGTGCTGGTGCCCTGCTCACACACGTTCTTCACAGTCTGGGTTGCTGCGGACACAGTTTCTGGGGCCCAGAAGGAATGCTCCAGGGTCTGGATTCCAATGTTGTTCTGGATGGGCCTTTCAACCAAGGCCTTGCTGGGCTTTTCCTGGTGGGCGTCCTGTTCTTCCTGCTGGCCGTCCTGTGCGTCTGTCTCCATGGCTTCTCCTCGTGGGCTGCACGGCTCCTGTGAGGCTGTCTGCCGAGAGGCAGGAGACGCGGGGTCCTGGAGAAGACTAACCGCCTTCACGGGCTGTTCACTCTCCCTAATCCTCTGGTCACCCTCTAGTTTTGCTTTCTTCTCTTCTTCTTGAGTACTTGGAAAATGAAGCAAGTTGCCCCTGAAAGTGAAATATGTGTTACGGTTTCAATATGGTTTATCCCCACTCAAGCTCGCGTTTAAATTTACTGTGTACAGTGCTGAGGGAGGAAAGGCGGAGCCTTTGGAAGGTAAGCAGGATTAGGTAAGCTCATCAGGGCAGCAGCCCCGAGTGAATGTTGGTGCCTCTAAAGGAAGACCAGAGCCTACCCGTGCTCCTGCTCTCTGCCTGGGACTCTGCTGGTGAGAAGGCCACTCCCACAGGTGCGCACATGGCTTCTGAACAGAACTGTGAGCCAAAACAGACCTCTCTTCTTCCTAATTTACCTGCTCTGTGGTCCTGTGTTACTAGCAACAGAAAATGGACCAAGTGGACTAAAACAAAAAGGAAGGGAGCGAACAAAACAGTGGCAAAGGGGAACCGTATTTTGACAATTGTAGTAACACAAAGAACTCCAGGTGACTCTGCGTGTCACTGTGTGAGGCCTCTCATAACTTCCCTCCTGTAAAAATAATGACAGCAAGACCGCTCCACCATGATGGTAACAGTCATGAAACTTCTTCCCAGCATTAACTGTGAACCCTGAAATCTGACACGGGAAATGAAGAAAATTCTAAGATGAAAGCTGTCAGGAAAGTCACAGGCAATGAAAAGCACCTCAGAGATCTACTTTGAAAAGGATCAGTTAGGTCATGAGGACTCACTTGGCTTCATGAATGGTCTAACATTCTTTAACTGACTTCTAGCATTACAGATACTGCCCCAAGCTAACCAGTCACTTCAGAAAAAGAACCCTCATCTTTAAAGGAGAAAGACGTAGGTGGGATTCTGATTTTGCTAACTGTATGAGTTATCTACAGCTCTATATTTTAAAATGACTTGGGTTCCTTAAAGACAGTACTCAAGATGGCCCATTTCTTTAGCCCATTTATTCCATTGGGCATCGGTACTTTATTTATCCCACAAGCATTTGATGAATGTCTGCTATAAACAAATGCCATGGTTTCTGAGATGACTACGGTTTCAATGTCCTTAATAATTCTCCCGAGTAAAAAGGTAGGCTTCCTGAGTTGCACTGTCCAAATCAGCAGCCCCTGGCACATAGCACTACTGATCACATGGTATATAGGTCATGCATCCTGAGACATGCTGTAAGCTTAAAATGCACAGTATATTTCAAAGACTTAGTATAAAAAATGTGAAGTATTTCATTAGTAACTTTCTATGCTAATTACATGTCACTATAACCATATTTCAGACATACTGACTAAAATATCTTATTTGGAAAGAAAATTTTTTTAAAGAACTAGGCTAGCTCCAAATGAGCAAGTTACACAAAAATTCTGCATACTCATCTTTACACTTAAAACACCTCACACGGAGCTTAATACAAAATAGGTAACCAATACACTTACTTTGAACAAAAGAGTGAATATTCTCCCAATCAAAAACTGCAAAAATCTACTTGGATTAAATAAACACAAAGTACACGTATATAGCTAGGATAAAGACAAAAGACGACCATTCACAACTGAGTTTGCTAGGACCACATATCTGGAACACCTGTCTCAGTTTTGAGTGCCACAGTTTACAAGACAGAAAATGAGATACACCCTGAAAGTGACAATGAGGGTGACAAGGGGCCTAGCAACCAGCTTCACCTGTGGCCTTACACATACGGTCAGAGACCGAGCGCGCTGGGAAGAGCCCTGTCCTCCGTGGTGCACCCTGCTGAGGCAGAGGAGAGGAAGCATGAAGAGTCCTCAAAGTTCTCGCTGAGCTCTCGTTCTTGATTAAAAAGATGTTTTGGAGGTTTCCACATTGTCTGGCTCGGTTCACCAGAAAAGGACATCGAAGGGGTATGTGGAATAAAGCTCTAGCTAAGTCTCTCAAAAACCTCAGCTGTACGAAGACAGATGATCCAATGAAGAAAAGGCAAGAACCCAATCACCACACTAATGAGAAGTACCTGCCCGGTCCAGCGTTTATGAACGACCCTGCATGCAATGCACTGGGCAGAAGCACAATTGATATCAGCTATGGATGACAAATTGATTAAAGAGATTCAATTCACCTTCTTCATAAACTTAATATTCATGTTCAAACCTTTAGGACACAATATATCAATGGCTAAGTAACAATGCAGGTGAATTAAAACCAAAAGGGACAGGATGGATCCATGAGTTTGACCCCTAGAACTCACAGTGGTCTCGCCCTGCCTCAGCCTCCCAACTGTTGGGATTACAGACACGCGCCACCACTCCCGACTGATTCATGCTTTTAAGAATTCAATTACCATGCCAGCGTGGTGGTGCACGTCTGTAATCCCAGCACTCAGAAGGCTGAGGCAGGAGGATCGTTGCAAGTTCAAGGCCAGCCTGGGCTACAAACTGAGCTCAAAACCAGCCTGAACTGCATAGTGAGACCCTGTCTCAAAAAGACAAAAAAAAAAAAAAAAAAATTCAATTACCATTGTTTACCACCTTTAAACAAATTTACACATTTTACCTCATGCCACAGACCAAGTATTTGTGCTCACCCAAAACTTCTAACTTCAGTCCTAATCCCCAGGGTGATGGTATGAAGAGACAGGGCCTCTGGGACGTGATCAGTGTCCTAAGAGACCTCAGAGATCTCCCGTGCAGGAAGCAGACCCTTGCCACATCACCAAATCTGCTGACACTTTAAGACTTCCCAGGCTCTACAATGGAAGAAATAATTTGCTGCTCACAGGCTACCTAGCCTACAGTAGCTCCTGAGTCAGTAGCAATCTGTATTAGATGCTGGTATCAAGCATTTGTGAGTCAATGGAGCCCAAATGATACGGTGAAAATAATGCTCACCTGACGGGGGCAGCAGGGAGCTCCTCACCTCCAGCCTTCTCCTCTTGTCGGGCTTCACAGATGCAGCTGAACACAGACACGGCCTTCTGGGGACTAAGGTAAGACATGAAAGTAACAGCTGTGCGCGTGTGGAAAGGCGCAGTACTTCTGCCCACTAGTCTGTCCCTCCGGCACAAAAGGAACCCTTTCTTCACCCCAAACTCCAAACCACTTTACAGCAAAATGCAAATTCTTGGCCACTGTGTTCCCTCGCGCAGGGTGGCCCACCTTCACACTGTAGGTGCACTTTTTTTCCTACTTACACTTAGTCTAAACTCCCTCTGTAGAGCCTGTTTCTTCAACAAAACTTTGCTACTATTTGCACTTGTCTTGACCAATTCTTTGCTCAGGACAGAAGAACCTAGAAACCACTTCTAGGAAGAGACTTCAGCACCCCAAACCTGGCAACATAGTTGGGTTAACCAGTCAGAAGAGCAGGCCCAGAAGTTAGCCCATCTATGAGCAAGTGACCCCACACCTACACAAGCAGACAGGACATCAGTGACCCACCCCTTCAAGACTCTGAAGAGGTGGCTTACTGAGGAAAGTATGCGGCTGAGTTCCCAACGGGTTACTGAAGCAAACCCCTTCCCCAGGGACCTGTGCTCACACAGCGGAACTCATAGCTCTTACTTGGGCATTGATACCTGTATTAGGAAAAGGCAAGAAACTACATTTCTATACAGACTCTAAATACGCCTTTCTGGTGCTACATGCCTGTGCAGCTATCTGGAAAGGAACTTGTTAGGTAATACACAATCATCTGTAAAGCAGGGCTTGGTGGCACACACCTGTAATCTCGGCACCGGGGAGGCTGAGGCAGGAGGATCGTTGTGAGTTCGAGACCAGCCTGGGCTACAAAGTGAGCTCAAGGCCAGCTTGAACTGCATAGTGAGACCCTATCTCAAAAAAGGCAAAAAAAGCAAAACAAAACCAAAAAATCATCTGTAAAACACAAGCAGGAGGAGTTATTTCCCTTTCAAATACTTCCTACCCATCCAGAGTATCGCTCTCTCTCTCTCCTCTCTCTCCTCCTCCCCACCTACAAATAAGCTGTTGGCTTTTATTAAAAAACAAAACAAACACAAGCAGGAAATTCTACAACTCTGCACAGTAATTTCTATCTTTCCAAGCAGGTCGTTGTCATTCATTGCAAGAGACCCTAAAGAAACATGTCTAAAGTCTTGAAAATCAGAAGGCTTGCTGGGAATATAGCTCAGTGGCACAAGTGCCTGCCTGGCAAGCACAAGGTCCTGAGTTCAATTCCCAGTACACACACACAAAAAAAAAATTATGAAAATCAAAAGGCTCAAAAAAAAGGAAAAAAGAAAATCAAAAGGCTGATAGGGAAGCACAAAGGACAGCCCTAGAGCTCCCCAACAGCCTACCTAGTTTTACTCCCAGTTCCTAAGGAACCATTCTGGTCTCTCCTCAAGAGACATAGTGACAAGCCATAAAAATCCTACATGGAAAATGGTACTAGAATCTTCACAGGACTAAGAAGAAAGCTGTTCCTGAGAACCTCTGGAAGACCTGAGACTCCTCTTCAGAGAGCAAGACTCCAGTACTGCTCCAGCTGCAGGTACGTGGAGTCCCTAATGACCCTAACTCACCACATGGGCACCTGTCTGGAGGCTCCTGTTTTGAATTAGACCCATTATGTGGTAATCTTGCTAAGGCTATGGCTCTCAGGTTCTCAGTAATTTATCTAACCTCCCGCTTTGCCATACTTTGTCCTCCACAAGGAGCATGGAAATCTGACCTGCTCCTCATATTTGGGTTTGGCATCCCCAACATAATAGCACATAATAAGGAGTTACCTTTTTTCTCCCATCGGACAGCTCAAGAGTCACTAGCTCTTTTCTCACTGTCTTCTGACAGATTTTTTTCATCAACCCAGCCAGCAAAGTACAACGCCCTGAAGTAGCTGCACAGTGCATAATCCCCAGCGGCAGGGTCTATGCCCCTTCCAGCTGGAAGACGCTACAGAAGACAGAGACCTCCACTCCCTTGGCACCCCACAAAGAATTAATGGGGATTCTGTGTCTCTGAGAGGGACATAAGACAGATTAGGGTGAGGCAAAACTGGCTGGGGAAGTAGGTGTGACACGTGCGCAAAGCAGCTCCCAAATCCTGCATGTGGACTTTTCCCAAGCACTTGAGCTGGTTTGATAGGATGGCCGAGAGCTGGGGAGTGCATTCTAGGAAGACGGCAGTGCACACTGAGTATCTGACAGTGTCCTCACGGGCACGCGGCTCACCCTCACACTGGAGGGTGTACTTCTTTTCCTATTTTCACTTGACCCAAACTCGTTCTGCAGAGCTTGTTTCTTCTCCTATCTTTAATAAAACCTTGCTACCATTATAAAAAATTCAAATTCTTCACTTGTGCTTCAAATTAACATAATAAAATCTTTCAAGGAAGATTCACTAGAAAAAAACCAGAAAACTATAAGGACGTGAGAATGTGCTCAGGAAATCAGAATATAGAAAATAACAGGGCAAATAACAAGTTCCTGAATAGTGGGGGTGGGGGGTGACAGAAGCATGTAACTCTAACAAGTCTTAGTTAAACCCTGCCATCAAATGCAATAGGTAGACTTATCTGGGTCTTGATTCAGGCACTGTAAAAAAAAACGTTGGAGGCAGAGAAATCTGAACATTATACAACTGGTAATACAATGTGGTTAAGTTTTAAAGTAAGAATTCTTACTTAGCTTCGTGCAGTGGCAGTATCATAGCCAATGAGGTTTACCCAAGGCGCAGCTATTGCTAAGAATGCTTATCTTTTAGAGATCATACTGAAGTGTTTACATATATAAAACAGCTTCAGAATAAGTAAGTGGGAGAAGGGATCGTCGGAAGTATTTATAAATGAACCCAGACCGGCTACCTGTTGGTAATTTCTGAAACATGGTGACCCAAGATGCTACTCTCAACTTCTGTACACACTTGAAACCTCCCACAATAAAATGACTGGGAAATGAGGTGACACCGAGTTAATCTGAATGGAATCCACTTACACTCAATACTTAAAAGTGTCACGTAAAGAGGTGTGGTGGAGTGTTCCACTACATCTGTAATCCTAGTGCTCTGGGAGGCTGAGGCAGGAGGATTTCAAATTTAGGCCCAGCCTGGGCAATTTGGTAAGACCCTGTCTCAAAAGTAAGAAATAAAAAAAGGGCTTGGGATGTAGCTCAATGTGAAAGCCCTGGGTTTGATCCCCAGTCCCCCGACCCCCCGGCTTCATCTAAAATAACCGGTCATTTATGGTATTCTAACACTTCAAAAGATTTCTTATGGTTAATCCAACAATACAATGAATCTTCAAAAAAATGTGTCAAAAATTTTCAAAATATCCTTATATATAAAATTTGCTTCACAACACAACCAATGTTTTTGTTTTTCACTCAAACACAAGGCCTCACATGCTAGGCAAGCACTCTACTACTGAGCTTTATCCCCAACTAACTTTAGTTTTTTTTTTCCTTTTTGAAATACAGTCTTGTTATGTACTGGTCTTCAATGTGCAATCCTTTTGCCTCCGTCTCCCAAGTAGCTGGGATTATAATAATCCGCTTCCATCCCCAGCACTGATGAATTCCATTCATTCCATGATCCACCATCCCAATCTTCTGCTCAAGTATCTCCTTATTTTCTCTTCCCACAGTTTACCCCAGGTTAGACTCCTAAGCGCAGGGGCCAGGTCTGAGCTGGGTTTCTCTTCAGAACTGGGGCTCTCACTCTGCACTTCAGCTGCCTCCTTGCTAGGCTGTTTACTTGGTGACAAACCCCAAGTACTTTAGAAATGTTTGAAACTATTTATGGGTTATTTTTTCTAAGACCGGAATACATGTTAAACAAACAAATGTTAATCCTTTGACACTGCTATGAAAATGTGGGAGTCTTTTCAGCATCTTCCTTATTTTGCTGATTGTTCTTTCTTGGAAATATGTCTCATTTTTCAGAATCTGTCCTAAAACACTTTGGGAAAAACTTGGATACCTTCTATTTGTGGGAGACCAGAATGGTTCCTCAGGAACTGGGAGTTCTCTCACATTTCTGCCCTAAGAGCTCAGGAAGTTTCAGCAGCATATTGTTTTGTCCTCAGGTACACACATACGGACTTAATAAACAAGTGCCTGGCACACAGCTCTGCTAAGGCTAAAGAGATCACACGTAAACTCCACCTTCTTAAACCCGCTGGGGCCACATATCACTAAGGGCCTCTAGGCACGTGCTGTGGCTCAGCGGCAGAGTGCTCACCTCGCAGGCACGAAGCCCTGGGTTCCACGGGCGGGCGGTGGCGGGGGGTTACTGAAAAAAGAACCTAAGCTACCTATTTTTCAAATTAAATATGCAAGAGCCCAGATATTAATCTAGGATTCAGCAAAGAACATACAGAAGGATTCTGAGAAGAGTCAGAAACTTACAAACGAGGGGCAAATTTAGTTCACAGACGTTTCACTTGAAACTGAAATTTTTATTTTTAAAAATCCAGACTTCTTTTATTTTTTTCTTTTGTTTTGTTTCTTCTTTTGGGCTGGACCCAGGGGCTACATCCCCATCCTTTATTTTTTATTGAGATAGGTTCTCACTAAGTTGCCCAGGCCACCCTCCAACTGCAACCCTCCTGCCTCACCCTCCCAGAAGCTGGGATTACAAGGATGTGCTACCACACCAGGCTTAAGAATCCAGGGGCTGGGGATTTAGCTCAGTGGCACAGTGCCTGCCTGGCAAGCACAAGGTCGTGAGTTCGATTCTCGGTACCGGAAGAAAAACAAAAACACACACACAGGCTTAAGAATCCAGATTTGTTTAAAGATTTGGCAACAGTAAATTTTTGCTCCTGAATTAAAACCAGTGACCGGATCAAAAAGAAATGGGACCTACATCCTGTCTGCGTCCTCCTCAACACTCCGCCGGCTGGAATTTACAGTACCTGCCCAGCAGCTGAGAGTCCGTGCCTGTACTGCAGCAACTGCTGCTAGTGCTTCCCTGCCGGCTGGCTCATGCCAAAAACAAATGAGACGTCTACTCTCACAGCCACCAGATGGCAAAGCTTCACCACCAAAAGCTCAGCATGGGGTCAAACTTCCAAAGCATTACAGCATGCGTGACAAAGCAAAAATAACAACTCAACCCAGCAGTCAACCGGCAGGCCTGAAGAAACGCCTGACACTGTGGTTCACTATGGGATGCAGAAGGGGCAGGGTACACACGCATCTCTTGCTCAGGCCTCTATGTCCTCTCCATAGCAACAACCACCTCAGGCTCAGCTGTAGGGAAAAAGCACTCACAGGAACAAAAGGGACCTGAGTTTTAAAGACAAAAGCTCTAATGATTAACACACTGCTAACACCCTTTGTGCTGGAGTTTTCCATTAGGTTTTTCCTCTGATGGTAAAGCATCTTTCCCTCATTACCCTCCTTGAAATAGACACCAGCTCTGGTTACCTGGCAACAGCCTCAGCAACAGCAGCAGAACCATTTCTTCTTTCACCACTTGAAGGCTCTGAATAAAAACAAAAGCAGGAAAGAAAAGAAAGGGAAACAATTCAGGTAGTATCACACCTAAAACCTCCCCCTCCTCTGTATTTTCAACAAGTAATGAAAATAAAAAGAGCAAAATTAATCAATGAACATGAACAGACTTCTTATAATTTAATGGTACAAGTTTTTCTCATTTCTACCAATTAATTTTCTTTCAAGTTTTCTATAGGAAATGAGTTAGTCTGGCCTGAAATACAGTAAGCTACTAAACAGTAATGTTTTAAATTAAAATTAAGCCCTTCTGAATTATCTTTTCACATAAAAGAAATTTTAAAACTACTTAAGAAAATACAAAATAGGCCGGGAATGATGGTGTACACCTGTAATCCCAGCACTTGTGAGGCTGAGGCAGGAGGTTCACCGTGAGTTCAAGGCCAGCTTGGGCTACAAAGTGAATTCAAGGCCAGCCTGAACTCTACAGTGAAACCCTATCCCAGACAGAAAAAAAAAAAAAAAAGCGAGAGAGAGAGAAAAGAAAATACAAAATAAAATTTAACTGAAATTTTTTAAAGAAATTAAAAATTTTAAAAAGAAAAATCATTTTAATAAAATAGGATTTTAGAAGCACCCACAAATAGAAGGTATCCAAGTTTTTCCCAAAGTGTTTTAGGACAGATTCTGAAAAATGAGACATATTTCCAAGAAAGAACAATCAGCAAAATAAGGAAGATGCTGAAAAGACTCCCACATTTTCATAGCAGTGTCAAAGGATTAACATTTGTTTGTTTAACATGTATTCCGGTCTTAGAAAAAATAACCCATAAATAGTTTCAAACATTTCTAAAGTACTTGGGATTTGTCACCAAGTAAACAGCCTAGCAAGGAGGCAGCTGAAGTGCAGAGTGAGAGCCCCAGTTCTGAAGAGAAACCCAGCTCAGACCTGGCCCCTGCGCTTAGGAGTCTAACCTGGGGTAAACTGTGTTGTCCTTTTGAGACTCAGGTTCCTCCTCTGTAAGAGAGAAAACAGGACCGCCCTCCCGTTTGTGTGACTACAGTGCTCCTAGTGTTGGAAAAGGCGCTACTACTTACGTACTGATGGGACAACCCTTACCTTTCAGCTCCATCTAGCCCTTCCCAGTCATAATTTCAGATTTAAAGGAGTCGAGATTTAAGGGTACTCGCACATTCTCTCAATAAGCCCTTATTTTATTCCCAACCATGAAATACTTCAATTCCTAATCAGAAAGCACCGACAAGCAACTGGAGTCCTGGTTTGGGATCCAACCTCCCTCAGTTTGAATCCAGGCTACTCTGTGTGTGACTCTCCGAAGTTGTTCCCCTTTCCTGTGTCTCTGTGTGCCCTTCTGCAAAATGATGATAACAGAATCTATTTCACAGGTTTGTTAAGAGACTTAATAGCTGTACATATAAAGTGCCCAGCATACAAGAAGAGCTCAAAAATTATTAGCTAAAATTATTTTCTTTGGTCTCAGAGAACAGGGTTCATCAACTCTTCCCTCTGACCCCTCATCTTTAACCCAGCCCTCTCCTGGAGCCCCTCCTTCAGTCTGTAAATTTGCTCGGGTCTCTCAACTAAAAACAAATTATCCTTCGACCTTGAATTTCCCTCTAACTTGCCGTGTTTCTCTTCCTTTTCTCACATAAACTTCTCAGAGTAAAGTCCATTCGCTGCCTCCGCCTTTCCTTTCTCCTCCTGCCCATTTCGCAATTACCTTTGATACAGCTCTCACCCCAACCACAACGCTGAAATGTTTCTTGCCAAAGTCACCAAATGGATCCTCACTGCCACATCCAAGATCCGTTTTCAGACATATCCTACTGGACTGTGGCGCCTACATCCAACACTGTTATCTTCTGGATCTCTCCTCTCCGCAGGCCTCCTGCTACCTCAGCTTCTCCTCTCTCAGTGTTCCTTTCCCACCTCTTTTACAGACTTCTTCCTCCTCAGACTTCCTTAAACAGCATTTACAAACAACCTACTGGGAAGCTTACAAATTTTACAAATAGATATGACTCAAATTCCAGCTCCACATCTGCCCAATTATTGTGGCCTTAGGCTTATAACTTAAAAACCACTCAGTTTGTTTTTTGTCAATAAAATGGACGTGTGACTGCCTGGAGCACTTTTATGAAAATTAGATGACACAGTGTATGTAAAAAGTTGTCCTGTATTTTCCCTTTCCCCTTATTGCCATGTTCAACCACCCTCCTGGTTCTGATAGTTTCGCGTACCTCAAATTCATTCCTCATCTCCAGCCCCGCTGTCGACCCCACTTCCTGGTTAAAGGCTGAGCAGAACTTTGCTAGGGAGAAGAGCAGGAAACGGACTGTGCAAAGGATATACAATCATCATGCGCAAAAGCACCAAGTTTTAAGACAAAGTTTGCTTCTTTCCTTTTAAAGAAGCAAGTCAGATCCTGTAATTCCCCTACCTCAAGTTCTTCAGCTTCTCAGCACAATGCAAAAGGCTCTGAGAATCTGGCCCCTACTCCGCATCACCTCCGTGTGTCTGCTCTAGCAGCACCTACCGAACAACTTGAACTCATGTGGAGAAGAGGTCAGAGGTCACATAAATCTACAGTGAAAATCACAACCCTCAATTTTCTACTCTTCTGAACTATTTCTGTATATGCAAGCCAATTACTTGACAGACATAGGTGTAATCTGGAAACACAAGTAAAACAAGACTGTAAAATAAAGTATCCTCAGTAACGTGACAGAGACTAACCAGAAACAATGAATGAACACTATATACATTATAAAAGTAACAATTATTAAAAAGGTAATTGATGCTTCCCAGATATCCTGGAGCTAATTACCCAAGACTAACATAAAATAAAACTTACTTTCCAGGCTAAATTGCAAAGACTCTTCACTGGCCTCTGTTTCAGGACTGACCAATTTCATTCTTAGAGACAGTTTCTCATCCACTTCCGGGGCAGCCCCGGAATCCCCTTTTTCACTCCCAAGTATAGCATCGTTGGTCTCTACCATGCTTTCCGACATGACAACACTGGTTGCTATGGTGCTTTCTGGATAGTTGCTAATGCCTGAAAGAAGGGAGGCAGGGAGAAAGAAAGAGCACTGAAATACAAACAGTAAAAACAGCAACACTAGGTCATCAATTTGCCTGTTTGGCTCCACCACTCTGCAGGATTGAAGGGGGTCCTAGGATAGATCCTGTCACAAGTATCAACAACTACGAACTAGTATTAACACCTGGTCTTAGAGGAGCAACAGGATTCAGATCCACTTCTGCATCTGGACAAAGGATGCTGCATGAGCCCTCAGCCAACCCACATCTGCCAGCATCAGGCATAGGTAGCAGGAGACTTCAGACGGCATGACTGTTACCTCCCAGCACTGACTAGAGAAAACAAACAGGTTAACGCAGAGGTCTACTGGCTGCAGCAGGGAAGGAGGGTCTAAATTCTCTTGCCTTGTCAAGCAGCAGACTGACTGGTTAGCCAGGGTGCTCGATAAATAGCACTTCTACCCTGTATCTTTATCTCCTCTTCCTTACAGAACAGTTCTGCATCACTGCTTGGCACAGACTCTACTGCTCTGCAAGTATTATGATAGAATCCTTATAATTATTCTCCCTCTTCCTCCCCTCCACCCTTTCTTTCCTCTCATGATCTCTCATCTCCTGAGAGTAAAGTCATACAATCAAACACCACAGCTCTATTCTGAGACAACAATCAACCTTATCAGTCAGACCTAACTCCTCAGATCTAAAAGTATCACTTCTTGAACAATGACGCCTCGGAGTGCCTGCCTTAAATATCACCATTTTTATTCACTCACCAATAGGAGTACTATGTCTCTTGGGCTCCAATTTTAGGTGCCCAATGAGAGGTGGGGTTGCGCCCGTCAATGGTGGGATAATATCACCTTCTTTAGGCAAAGTGAAATGAAATGGGGTTTCTGAAAAAAATAAACAAAAAACGAAAACAAAACAATGATAAAAAGCAAATCGAACAGAAGTATAAAATAAGCAAAAATGAGGAAAACTGCAAAAAATATTTCAAATGCTTTTCTTTTGCTCTCTTACTCAGATCACCTTCACCAGGCCTCCACAGGCCTCTATCTTCTCTGCTCTTTTTACGGCCCCAACAAGACTGACCCGAAGCAGAAGATGAGCAGACAGGCAGACGGAAAGACAGGAAGCCCAGAGTGTGGAGGGCCCGATGAACAAAGGGCCAGAGGAGCCTAAGGACATCTGGCATCACGACAGCAGGTCTGGGGATACTCAGCAACACCCATGTGGATAGTTTCATGGTTTCAGTACAGGTATAATCCAGCACAATGCTAACCCAAGTGGTCCGTTTAAAGTCTTAGCACTCTCTAGGAGTCCCCAAAAAAACATCTGATGTTAGTACATAGAACTTGCAACGTAACTGAAGAGCTGACAAAGGATCTCACAGGCCAACCGACTTCAAAATACTCACTGGTTCTAACCTAGAAAATCTACATTTTTCAGGGTTCAGCAGTACTGCAAGACCGAAAGACAGCACGCATTTAAGACTGAAGTAGTATGTCCACATTCAGATCGCTACACAGCAATCAACCCGACATATATAAGCATTCCCAGTGTACACATTTGGATTAGTTGTTCTTAAGTTATTAAAAACATCAAACATTTGTCAACACACGAAGCTACTTTTTTAATTAGGTTCTTAGTCCACATTCTTGTTAACCAGAATCAGCAAATTGCCAAAATTGTATTTTCTGGCTTCCTATCTCCTTTAATAAAATGGGTTCATCTGGGAGAAATAAGAACTCTGCCAGACTGGACTCTTAAATTTAATATGTGAAAAATTGATATTACTTCCCTAGATACTGCAAAGTAACTATAATGTGGCACACCCAGTCACCACTACTTAGGGAAATAGCGTTTCTTTCTCCACTCCACTTTTCCCTTTATTATTCTGTAATGCCAACCACGTTGACACTTCTTTCCTTCAAAATCACAAAACTACAACAAAAAGGAAAACCTCCTACATCTATAAGAAAAAGTAACCAGAGGGGATGAAAAATCTCTGGAAAATGAAATAGTCTCTGGAAATAAAGAATGAAAACACACAGGCCCAGCTAAGAAAACTAGGAAGAGCAGGACTGGAGAGCATCAAAATCAATTTAACTAGCACAGACGTCCTCCACAGTCAAACACGTTAGGCAGACAAGCACGCACTCTCCGGTGGCTCCTGATAAGGCAAGCCTGTCAGGCTAACAAAGAACTCAGAGGACAGATAGAAACTATGACAGCAAAAGCAAAACATCTCACGCAGCCAAATACATTCCAAACATCAATTTTATAGGATTTTCATTACGAGAAGAATCAGGAGTAAAAGACTGCACATATACTGCTTTCTTGGTAGGAACCATCCCTCATCTCGGAACTGACTGACCAAGCTTCTAAAAATCTGTATGAAACCTCATGCAAACATAACCCGCAGGCACTATTACTGAAAATTATTTGCTGGTAAAAAGAGTGTCCTTTGCAGAATACTAGGTAAGACTTATAATTAAAAGTAATTTTAGAACCATTTAATTAACTGTATCATTGTAACCTAACTGGTGGCGAACCTACGGCACGGATGCCACAACAGGCCGTCTGTATCACTGAAAGCTCTAAAACGTTCGCCACCATTGAACAGAAAGCTGAGATTTCACCGCCACTGCCTTCATCCAGCCTCCAACACCTCACTCCTAACCAGCACAACAGCCTGACAACCCTCTTCTCTGCCTCAAGTATCCCTTGCTCCCCAGCCCCGCTCTTGCTAAACCCTGCAACCAAAGCAACCTTCCTATAAAACATGGCTTCGAACGTGCTGGCTCCTTCTCAAAAGTCTTCAAGGTGTCCACCGGAAGATAAATTCCTAATTCTTTAGTCAGCACTCAATTAACTAGTAGCAGCCTATATTTCCACTCTTTTTTACTTATTCATGTTCATGAAGCCTCCATTCAACGTCCTCCAAATACCTTCCCATTTCCCTGCTTTTGTTCACTCACCTGAAAATCACTACTAATCCAGTCAAATGATCACCAAATCCTGCAAAGTACATTTACTGCAATATTTTATCCTTTTAAATTTACTAGAATTTCTCAAATACTCAGTTCTCTAACCTGCACTGTTTAAATGATCAAACCCTTGCTCACTTTTCCAGATGATAATAGGTTGGCCTATTTTACATCAGCATATCAACCTATAAAGAAAGACGTGGATGAAAAAACAAAAAGAAATTTAATACCAGTTATCAAACCATCCGTGCAGGAATTCATCCTTACTACTATGGACTTCAAACAATTCTAGTACAAGGCAAAATTTACAACGCTTAAATCCGAAGGGCTCTCCGAAATTTCTATTATAGTTTAAAGCCCACTCTTTTCTTTAAAAACTGGTCCTCCCTCCCTCCATTTCTCCCTCCCCCTCTCTCCCTCTCTTAGGTAGGGTCTCACTAAGTAGTCCAGGCTAGCCCTGAATTGGCTATATATAGCGCAGGCTCAGGCTGCCTTCAAACTTTCGATCCTCCTGCGTCATCCTCCTGGGTGCTAGGATTACACACATCCTCCATCATACCAGGCTCTGGCCACTTACTTTTTAATTAATGAAAAGCCATCTAATTAACAATAGAGGAATTTCCATACTGGATGACACTATAAACAGTCTCAGTGTTTGCCTCTGACATTAACAGCCAGTTACAGACCAACAAAGATCATACAGCTAGAGTCCCAAATATATCTAGCTTCTCTGATTATTACTAACCTACTACAGACTGCCACTTAGGATTTAATTAAAGATTTACTGAACTGGTTAGAGTTTTCCACATCATCAACCCACCATGAATTTGTTCTTCATTGAGTAAGGTTGTGCTTCTTTGCTTCTGTCAGGTTTAGGAGAGGCTCCTATACACAGGTGTCTAGAGAAGTCACAAGTCATCTACAAACGGAGTAACCCCACCTCTCACTGTCTGTCCCGACTCTGCCTTCCCACTACTCCCTCTTCTACCCACTCCCACACCCCTCTTCCTGCACTATTTCAATATTTCTCACACTTCAGCATGTTCTCTGTTTTTGTTTTGAGACAGGGTCTCACTATGTAGCCGTGGCCTGGAACTTTCGGTGATCCTCCTGCTTCAGCCTCCCAAGTGCTGGGATTACAGGCGTGTACCACCACACCCAGCTGAGCATGTTATTTTTTAAATCAATAAGGATATTAAAAACACGAAAGTGCTGCTGTAATTCTAGTATTCAGAAATCTACAGATTTCTGGGACTTGCCCAATTTACACATTTTAGTCTGTCTTTTCAAACTGCAAAACCATTAACTTTTTACATGATTCTCATTTATCTTGTTTTTTGTTTTTTGTTTTTTTCTGGTACCGGGAATCGAACTCATGACCTTGCACTTGCCAGACAGGTGCTGTGCCGCTGAGCTAAATCCCCAGCCCCTATGATTCTCATTTAAACTACTCTTAAAGTTAACAACTACACTACATTTCAAGTACAGGTAATTTTTCTTCTGTTCTTTTTGCAATGTTCTGAATGATTTACTTTAGACTAACCCTGTAAGTCAAGAACTTACTCTCCTCTGAATTGCAATTTCTAGCTAAAACTATTTTATTTAACTTCTCTTATAAATACTATTTTCCAATCAGTCTTCATTAATTTTTGTGGTCTAATAACTAAAGTCTTAAAATAAGTAAAAAAAAAAAAATTACTGACATTTTTAATAATCTAGATTAATATTAGTAAAATAATTATACTATGCAGTGTCTGTAACAAAAAACAGCCAGCTGCCATGTTAACAGCATAAATTAAAATCCATGAAGAATACTGTTAATCTAACTGAACTAATATCTGTGTTTTAGAAGCTTCCTCTGCATTAAACTGTTAAGACATTTAAAAAATATTCCTCAGTAATCATATAAAGACAATCCATAAGCCCTGATACTTTCTCTGTTTAGATCAAGAACTCTTTAATGTAATGAAACTATAAAAATATTCAACAATACAGAATTTTAGATCATTCAGACAGTTGTTTACTGTGACTCTTCAGAATCAGAGAGACCATACTGAGTAGTTTTGAAGGAGGACAAAGCACTGACGTGGGAATCTGGAGACCTAGGTTCTAGTCCTGCCTTAATCATTAATGGGCCACTTTAGAAGACGACACTGAACCCCAATAGTTCTAGCCTCCTTTTCCACTCTAAAATTTCTTGTTCTGAAGAGAAAAATAAAAATAAGTAAACAAATAAATCCTGAATATAAACTTAGTGATTAATAATCACACCTAGACAATGGGTATAAACAGGACTATTCTAGGCAAAACAAAAGGCCTGGTCACCCAGGATACAGGGTGACCCTCTTTTTCCCCAGAAACTTGTTTTGTTGGGTTTTTTGTTTTGGTTTTACATTACACTACCTGGAGACTCAGAAAGTTTGAATTCTTTTCAGCTAATGCCACATATGATACTCCATGAACATTTCAGGAAGCAATCTATGTCTTCATGCTAGATTTCGGAGGGAGAGGGAGAGGGAGAGACAGATAATCTGGAAATTTTATCGAATGCTCATAAGGGGGAAACAACCAGTAACAGCCTACTACTCATAACAGTGATTTTTACTGTGGACTCAAATCAGGTCCTTGTCCTTCAAAGCAAGGGTTGAAATATAAACATGTACTGGGGGCGAGCGCAGCGGCAGTCTGCTGGTCTACGTGTGCCAGGTACTGGGCTGGTGGGAAGGGGAACACAAGACACAACCTAAAGAGAAGGAACAGGCCAGTATACATACGGACTACTCCTGAGTTGTTACAAAGCTGGTAAAACTCAAATGACCTCTGATCTTACACATTACATTAAAAAAAATGTAACCTCAAATCTTAGATGTCCCAAATATTACTGGTCATTCATAAGCTTAAACTCCAGTTAACGCTGCTCAGCCCTGACATGAGCATGCAGCGCCCTTCTACCTTCCATTTCAAATGGTGAAGTGCCTGGAGCTCAGAACGATCGAGAACCACACTCACCGCTAGAACTTTCGCAGAAGCTCTGTGAGGCGTGGGCAGAGGCCTTCTCGGGCTGCCCGGCCTCTCCACCTGAGCCTGGCTGCTGTGCATTAGCCACTTTGGAGTCTTCTGTTAGCGAACTGTCTGTTTTCTCTTGAAGCTGAGGCTGCTGCACCTTCCGGTCAGGCCGGGGAGGCTCGTCTGCGCTCACTAAAGGCAACAGGGGGTGCGCAGAGTCTTCCCCTACAGGTTCCTTTTCTGTAGTCACTGATTTCAGATCTCCATCATATTCTACATTCTTCTCTTCCTGGAGATCTGATCTATTCTCAGCACATGGTTCTATTTCTGGAGCAACATCCTCCCAGGACTGAGAATCTGAGCATTTCTCCACTCCCTCCAAAGGTTCACAAGCAACGTCAGCTCTGGGAGACGGCTCCTTCACGTCTACAATGACAACACTGGAGTCCTCAGAAGTCGCTTCCTCCCAAGCTTCCTGATCCTTATGTTCTAGTTCCTGGTCAAGTGCTGGCAGTTTCTGGGGGGAATCAATACTAATCACGCTGGTTTCAACTTCCATAGCTTCTGGGCACTCTTGTTTGGAGATTTCCTTTTGAAGACACAGTCCTTGGGACTGAGTTTCAGTCAGGGAGAGGTGGAAGGGAACGCTCTCTGTGTCTTCCCCTTTGGGCTCCTCTCCATGACTTTCACAAGGAGTCTCGGGGATTTCTTCCACCTCAGACTCCGAAGACCCCTCCTCCGGATGGTGCTCTGTAACTTCCATAGCTTCCTCCTGATCTAAGACACTAGAAAGCGTCTCAGTCCGAGTAGCTGGAGAAGGAACCGCCTGACTCCCTGAATCACAAGTGAGATCGATACAAATGTCTTCTGTTACAGTGTCTTCTCTGCCTTTGAAGCCAGTAGCTAAAATGCTGATGTCATCCCTGTTCTCTGTGTCACCTCCTTTTGTTTTGTCATCATTCTGACTGAGTTCTACTTGGTCACCTGGTGCTGGATTCATCAGGATACTTTCACTTTCAGCAGGAACAAGTTTTGAATTGAGAACTGGAGACAAGGGTTCAGTATCCTCCACTTGCGAGTTTTCCCCATCTTCCTCAATCCTGTGAGAACTCAAGCTCTCCATCTTTGGGGATTGACTGTACTCACTTGTAGAAAGCATCAACTTGCAAGAATCCCCCGTCAAAGAGAGCCCAAGATCCTCAGTGGAATTCTTTGGTTCAGTCTCTGAAGTTTTAGAACACTCAACAGTCAAAGATGAATTATGCAGATCTCCACCTTTCTTCCCATCATTTGATCGTTCTTCCAAACTTGGCGATGGAATGAAAATGTCCTAAGAAAGAACAAAAGGTGACAAATCACCATTTATTCATAATCTTGTTTCTTTTCCATCTAACCCTTGCATTCATCTACAATTTCTAATCAGTAATCCCAGAATTAAAGAACTCTAATGAATGCAACCGCAGAAGGACAAAGCTCAGAATCACATCTTTCCTCTACAGACGTCTCTGGCTCGTTTCTTTCCTATACAATCACTGCTATGGAATAAGCATAACTCAAACAAAAACCTGGAAGTACTACCTTACCTTTTTTCAAAGGTGAAAAAGACACTTAAACTTACTTGTACTTATCAAGCTACTACGATCACGTCATGATGGGCTCCAATTACAGTACATAGGAATCATTTGGACATATTGCCTACAGAGCCCATTTCAGATCTCACGAAGTGGGAAAATACTATGTACTCATTTTACTTCCTGTTATTTCACAAGAGCTGCCATTCGTACAGCAAGTATCAGAATTCAAATTATAATAACATTAGTCAGCAGAGAAATACAAATTAAAATCACACTTAAATACCACATGAGTTTGAAAAATCCCAAAGCCTAAGAACTGTGCAACAACTGCAGCTCTCACATATTGCTGGCGGGGATGCAAAAAAGGAGAACCACTTCAGAAAACAGTATGACAGTACCTTAGAAAGTTCAATTACCATGACTCTGAAATTCCTAGTAGGAATTTACCTAAGAGAAACAATGTTCACAGCTGTACTAAGTCAGAACAGTCCAAAACTGGAAGCAACCTAACATCTGTCAACTGGTGGATGGATAAAGCAAACTGTGCGTATCATACTGTGGAATACTATTCAACAATAAAAATGGAATTAAAATATTAGCACATGCAAAAATGTGAACAAATTTCAAAAATATGCAAAGTAAAAGAATCCACATACCAAAGACATTATCTCATGATTCCAATTACATGAAATTCTCAAGAACAAAACAAAACTATACTGATAGAAAAAGAAGGTATGTTCACCGAGGATAGAAGGGAAACCTGGGGTACAGGGAAATTAACTACAGAGGATTAGGATTATGAGGGAACTTTTTTGTTTGAGGAATCTGTTCTATACGTTGATGGTGGTAGTAGCTACACATCTGTCAACACCGCCAAAATTCATCAAACTTTATATATTTAAAATGGCATTTCAGCCAGGCATGGTGAGGCACACTTGTAATCCCAGCACTCGGGAGGCTGAGGCAGGAGGACTGCCATGAATTCAAGACCGCCGGGCTACACAGTGAAATCCCATGGATGGATAGATGGAAGGGAGGGAGGGAGGAAGGAAAAAGCACTTCACTTTTTTTGGCAGGGAGAATCAAACTCAGGACCTTGCGCTTGCCAGGGTCACCTGTGCCACTGAGCTATACCCCCGGCTCTCATTTTCCTTCCTAGGAAATTTTTAAAATTCTATTTGTGACCAAGGGGAGCACAAGAACAGGATAAATATCAAGAGGAGGCGTGGCTTACAGGTGGGAAGGCAAACAGGTTTCCCCTGAGTTCGCGAGGCAAGGGCAGAAGCTGCTTGTACAAATCAAAACAGAAAGGAAACCACGAGTTTAGAGCAAGTATCCTGCAGTTCTTGCTCCTGGGCAGCACTGGACCTTCTGCCTCCTCTTCCCACACCCCGCAGAGCCTCCTGCGGCAGCTCCTCCTACTCCACCCGGAGCACCTTTCCCAGAGCACAGGAACTCAGGCCAGCCACACCAGTCCCGTTAGTCACCGCAACTGAGCGCGCATCATGAGGGAGCTGCAGAAAGGAGAAGACCCAACAGCCTTGCTCAAGGGCACATTCCGTTTGCGGCCTGCAGCCCCTCATTTCTGCCTTAATTTAGGGCTCGGCATTTCATTTTCAGTAATGATACCTTAATCTCTACAATGGGAGAACATAATTCAAAATTTAGATATGTTTTAAGAATTTACAGTTATGAGTATTATTCTGCCTAACATTAATGCTACAAAACTCTAGACACACCTGGTAAGACATTCACTCCATGATTTTTATGGAGTGGGGAATCAAAACAGGTACCCAAACATTCTGTTTATTTTGTAACTTTGGTATTTCAATGGTTGTTAATACTATTTATCCTATTAGATCTAAGAATCACCATAAATTTGTTTATTTATTTATTTATTTTCTTTTTTTTGTTTTTTCTCAGGTACCGGGAACCGAACTCACGACCTTGCGCTTGCCAGGCAGGCGCTTTTGCCGCTGAGCTAAATCCCCAGCCCTGTATCACCATAAATTTGGACCTGTTCATATACAGACATAAATTGGGTCAATATCTCTAAATAGCAATTTGGCAATGTACAACAGCTTTAAAATCCTGTATCTCCTTTAACCCAGTAATCCCATTTCCGGAAAATCATTGGAAGCACACTCAGACTTAGCTATAAGACTATTCACTACTGCCGGACGTGCTGGTACATGCCTGTAATCCTAGCACACAGGAGGCTGAGGCAGGAGGACTGTTGCGAGCTCAAGACCAGCTTGGGCTTGTGAGCTCAAGGTCAACCTGAACTGCATAGCGAGACTCTGTCTCAAAAAGACCAAAAAAAAAAACAAGACTATTCACTGCTACCTTATTATCAGAATAGGAAACATGAAATATTTTAAATGCCTAGAACAGATTTAAAAATTATAATACATCTACATGATAGAATTCTTTGCACCACTATTACAAAACTGTATGACAGAAGGATATTCAAAAGCATGGAAAAGCCAAGAGTGGCAGTGCACACCTATAATCTCAGCACTTGGGAAGCTGAGGCAGGAGGATCACCTCAAGTTCAAGACCAGCCTGGGCTACACATAGTGAATTCAAGGCCAGCCCAAACTATACAGAGAGACCCTGTCTCAAACAAGAAAAACAAAAACTCTGGCTATGCATTAAGTAGAAATAGTTTCCATTTTAATAAGAAAAAGTACATGAATATATATTTTATTATAGTCTTTTTATACTTTTTCATGTAATTTTCATATATTTTAAAATTGAAATGTGATTTAGAAAGAGTTGTTACTTCTGAGATAGAATAATTGATATTTTTATCTTTTTTCATCTGTACAACATCTGCAAGAAATATATATATGCTTTGTCTAGTTGCAAAAATAAAAAAAAAGGGTTTTTGGTGGGGGCGTTTTGTGATGCTAGGATCCAACCTCAGGGCCACACACACATTAGGCAAGTGTTCTATCACTAAGCAACACTCCCAGCCCCAAAATAAGTTATTAGATAAGCTAAGACACTGCTAATAAAACTATAAATACCGGTACCAGGGCTGCCCTGAGGAGAAGAAGGTGTGAGGCTGCTCCGGAGTCGAACCAACACGCTCCCCTCAGGGCATGAAGACAGCAATATATAAACGTGCTCAACCTAGTCCTTCTCTAGGAGATGCAAAATTCAGAACACCAATGGTCATCGAAATCATACAAAAAAAATTTGACTATCTTAAAAGAGGCAAGTCTTTAACACCTGGAACACGATTACTTGCAGCATCAGCTAGTACCTCTGGAATACTGGCAAACTTCATTTTGAGAACCTGCTTCCAAGTTAAATATGATGTTTCAAAGACATACACATCATCAACTGCACTTCCATTTTTGTCTACAATAGTTACCTGTAAGTTCTTTGTAATGAATGGTTTGTATTCAGATAATATAAGAAAGGAAAACTGTGCTCTGAGAAGTTCACTAGCTGGCCTAGTGTGTGTTTTATATCCCAGTGGATTGGCTTTTTCTAAAAATGGACGCCTGGCAGTCAAGAATCATACTGTTCCACTGCCACCAAAAGGAAGGGTTTTACTTCATTGGTTCCTGCTTTGTCAAACACAAATAAAAGCAACGTTAATTCCTCTAGCGTTACAGACAAAATTTGGACTGCTTAATGGTCTACACCAGTACGCAGTAAACGAAAAAACACGCAGGAAACCCTACATGAAGACTGAAGACTCTGGATGCTAACTCAGCAGTATACGTTTTACATGATGAGGGCTGATGCATTGCTAAAAGAGTATAAATAACTATTTGTTCCTTTTGCCTGGTATATAGCTGATAATAAATATTTAGTAATTCAATAAATACAAATGCTAAAAAAAAAGTATGAACACCTTCTTAAAACCAAAACCATGTAACATAAAATTAACTCATTTTAAAATCAATAATTCAGTGACATTCACTACATTCAAAATGGGCAACCAGCACTTCAACCCCATAAAAGACATTTTCACTGCCCAAAGAAGCCCTACACCCATTAAACAGTCGTGTCCCATCATAACCACCTTTACAATATTATCGAAGTAAATACTGATGGAATTTTTTTTAACCAGAATTTTTAGAATACAAGTAGAATTTCAATCAGTCAGAGCACAATTCAGCAACAAACTGCATTTCCAAAGATAAAGACAAAACTCTGGGAGATAAAGACTGACAAAGAGGGCTGGGGATTTAGCTCAGTGGCACAGTGCCTGCCTGGCAAGCGCGAGGTTGTGAGTTCAATTCCCGGTACCAGAAAAAAAAAAAAAAAAAATTAATGACAAAGAACTATCAGGACTATGTCCAAAGCATCAACTTCTAGGGACAGACCTAAACCTATAGTATCCCGAGGGAAAAACTAGCCTCAAACATACAAAGCTTAAGATTTTTACCATCTTCATTTTACCATCTCTAATCTAATCTGTCTAATCTAATCTGCCATCCCCCAAAAACAAAAAGAAAAAGTGTTAAATATGAAACTATGTTCTAATAGTCTCCTCATTCCCCACATGCTGGTGAAGGGTCAAAGAAGCTATGCAATTAACAAGTATGTTAGAAAAGAAAAAACATTCACAAAATTACCAGCATCTCAATTTTCTCTTGTTTAGTAGCTATCTTCTTATATATGTGTGTGTGTGTGTGTGTGTATATATATATTTAAATCTTATAATATCAAAATTAAATTGACATGGATCCCAGGAATCAAGGTACAGACAAAATAACAGGTGTGCAATGGTTCT